TGGAGAGAGAAACGGACAGGGACACTCCAACAGGTGGCTTCTGGAGAAGGTGAGCGGGGCCAAGGACAGGCCTGTGGTGCGAGAAGCCTGTGCTCAGAGGTCGGCGGCTGGGGACGCACAGAGGTGAGCGAGCTTGGAGGCTTGCGGTAGGGAGGGACCAGGGTTCCAGTTGGATGGGTCCATGTTGTTGGTGACGAAGGACACTGGTTCTAAGTGGTTGAACGCTGGCCTAGTTTGAGGACGGGACTTGGGGGTGATGTGGGGGTCTGTACCTCGGGATGCTGTCCTTCGGGAGTAAGAAGGTTAGTTCTTCTCCAATGCTGGCCTCCAGGATGGCGTTGGGGATGTGCTGGTAGACCAGACGGGTGACCTCCTCCGTGTCACAGTGAGGCTTCTGCACCAAAGTCATGTAATATCCGGCACCTGCAACAGCCCGCAAAGACTGTGAGCAGCTTTGCCCAGCCCGCACGCTCCTCTGGCAGAGTGCCTGGCCTTGTCTCCAAGCTTGGCTGTAGGGAAGGGCTGAAGGGTCCCTGGTGGTGCTGAGGTGAAAGCACTCAGCTACTGACCACCAAGTCTAAGGTCTGATCCCCCCGGCTTGGGGCAGAATGGAGAGCGATGCGGCAGTCAGCCCTCAGAAAGAAGACGGCAGTCTCCGGAGCCCAGAGTGGCTGCTCGGCTCTGTCCCATGGGGCCGCCAGGACTCAGAATCCACCCAGTGGAAGCAGGCGGATGAGTTTAGGAAAGTGAAGAGAAGAAGAGAGAAGCCTGCAGCCTTCAGGGGGATGGCAACCTGCTGCAAAGAAAACCCGCGTCCTCATCCCCGGGCTGACCAGCGACCCGCGATGATCCGAGAGAGCACTGAGCTGCCTTGGACTCCCGCTCAGCACCCCTGGGAGCAGGCGTGGAGAAATCATTGGTCAAATTGGCTGCACAAGCCCTGGGTACGAGCTTAACAAGCACAGATGTCATTTTGAGGGTGGCATTTTTTATGACCTCATGGGGCTGCCCCTGGGGCTGAGTGGTGCCCTGAGGGGCCGGGGTGAGAGCTTTCGGCCACAGCCTGGTGAGGCTCTGGCTCCGAGGACGCAGGCAGGTGAGTGTTAGGTCAGGGTGGGGTGATAGGGTCCCACTGTCAGTGAGCAAGACGGGGAGTGACCCTGGGGCTGAAAATAGAGCGAGGGCACGTGAGGGCACAGTCAGGGACATGGGCTTGGAGGTGGGGAGACTGTGGCCTGGGCCAGGATCCAGCAAGTGGATAGGCCCCGGAGATGCTCAGAGGAAAGGCGGCAGTGTATGCTGATGGACTAGATGTCTGGCTGGCCGAGGAAGGAGGTGGAGAGTGGAGGGTGGGATGGTGGTGGTGGTGGAGGGGCTGAGGCCCTGGAAGAGTGCTGCAGCTCCAGAGCAGAAGGAGCCGAGGGGGCCCAGGAGGCTGAGGTCTGTGCATGTCTGGGTGGCCATGTGAAGGGGCAGTGGAGGAGGAGATGGTTTAGAGAAAAGCCCCTGCCCCTGCATCACCTCCCTGTCCATTCCCAGGGACCCTCCCCCAGCGCTCCAAGGGCTCTAGCAGGGGGGCCAAGAGAGAGCTCAGATCCAGGCCTCCTGTCCCCCAGCCTCTGAGACTCTCCTTCCCCCTCCTGGTTACAGTCTCCTCAACCTAGTCGCTTGCCGCTCACCATACTTCTGCTTGAGGAACAGCGAGGACCCGCAGCACTGCAGCTCCCCCTGCGCCATGATGGCGATGCGGTCCCCAAGCAGGTCGGCCTCGTCCATGAAGTGAGTGGTCAGCAGGATCGTGC